TGTAGAGAATAAGATGTAATGAAGTGCCTTGTGAAGTTGGATTCATGCTACAATAGTCTAGACTTTATATCACGATATATAACTATAGATAATGGTAGATAATTCTAGTCACATGTAGTAACATATAGTTATATGTATGCTATAGGTTTTTTAATGAACAATAATGCTTGTTCATGTTTGAAGAATATATGCATATGGTTGTGTTTTTTCATTTTTTGTTTGTTAGTTGATTTATAATATCAAGATCCAAATCGTGAATTTTGTTGTTAATGTAGATGAATTTTGGGGTAAAAAGACAGTACATGACTATATATAATACATGACTATTGAACTTGTAACACATTGTAGTCATGTGTAGTATACTTTCAGTACAATAATTTTACCAAAATTTGAATTAATAAGAAAAAAATATAAAAATTAATAAAAATCAAAAAATTATAAAAAATTATAAAAAATACAATAATAATAAAAAATGTACAATATATATACAAGAATAAAAAAAATTATTAAATAAAAAATTATGATATATGCAGTACAAAAATACTAAATGCAGGTCCAAAATGATAAGTACAGTTTGTGAAAATGTTGAATGTAGTTGGACGAAAATTGCAAATAAGGGCACAATAGTACTTTTGCATCTCCGGGATATCTCAAAAGAAGATTTTTAGAGGTAGACATATCTCTATATATTTTTCATATGAGGGGTGTTTATCAAATGGACCCTTTATATTTTTGTAGATGTTAATTCCATACTAAAATAAATTTATATGCCCCAAATTTAATTTGTGAAATGATATTAAACATTATAATATTTTTTAGAAACTATGAATGCACCCATATATTTTTATTATTTACAGGTTTCCTCCACGTTCCCGTATCCAACTTTTTGGAAAACAAAGTTTCCCCGCGTCCTTTTCCCGTGTCCGTGCTACATAGATTGAACTTGATTAATGTTAAATTGGATATTAATTTAATTAACAGAGAAATTTAAATTGAATAATATACATTAATGTGTTTGATTACATAAAGATGACGTTATAACCATGTAGTTATTATTTGATTTTTATATTTGAAATAGTTAAGAAAAATACATAAAATTAAAATTTTGAAATACAATGCGAGACTACATTAACATCTAAAATTTTCAATATTCATACCAAAAATATACTTATGATGTCGACTTCTAAATAACGATAAACCATGTGTCGGCCCCATCTTCCTACAATCAGTGGACTGGAAACATCGAAATCAACATTAACATTAAGAAGTATACGGAGGTCATGTGGCTCCATCCTATCATATAGTCATGTGTGGATGTGTGGCGGCATCGGTATCGTACGACTGTTAGCATTCGGACCCGTAGGTAATAGCGGAAACACCAAACGGATTATGAAACCTCATTGTCCATCAGTATGGGATCG